CCCCCCCTTGTTGTGCACCCTGCGCGCGTCGTGCCTTGTCGTGTCCACTCCTGTCCTGTCTTGTCTTGTCCAGGCTCTCCGAGGGCAGGTGGATGAGGCATCCATCCGTGCCCCCATCGAGACGGCCATGGCCAAGAAGGTGAGGGCAAAACCTTCTGTGTATGCTCGTTCGGGCTCGTGTGTTGGTTTCGAGTAGCAAAGGCAACAGCGGGGTGACGTAGAGGGGGCAAAAAAAGGGATAACCGTCCGCTATTTGCTCAACGGGTAGCTGCGCAGCAAGCAGTGCGGCAGTGCCGAGGTTGACCGTTGTGGCGACGGCGGGTTCTGGACGGCGGCGGCAGCAACAGCAGTAGGGGGGGGGATTCGTTCGCAAGCTTCTGTCCTGCGGGTGGGTGCTGGAAGTTGGGCGGGACAAACGGGTAGGGTTCGGAAGTGTTGGTTAGGGAGGAATACCGATGTTGCCGTTACTGAAGAACGTGCAGCAAAGAGATCACTTCGTGTGCAACATATGGGTTCTGCAGCCGGTCGGACACGGAGCGTGTGGGTCGCTGGCGGGCGGGGCAGGCGGGCGCGTAGTTTCGAGCCTCGCGCCAAGGGTGACGGGGACTAACGTTGTAAACTGCAACCCTTGATCGCCAAAAATGGGCGCCTTTCGAACAATACCAACGCCTCCCTCAGGCAGTCGTTTTGCGGTGCCCTGTCCTTTTCTTTCGTAAATAACCCTTGCTGGGGGAGATTCACTCCTGTTCACAAGAAACGTCCACACCCAAGCAACAGATGCTGTAAGCAGCAGGGCAGCTTCTTGCCTGTGGGCGTGGACCACCCCCGTTGCAAGCTCTGCTGTTTGCACTCGCGGTGGCTGTCCCTGCCGGGGATTGTTGATTTTCGAGGCAGAGCGTTTTATTGCCGGGGCTCCGGGATTCAGAGCGGCAGGGGGGGGCAACAACGACGCTTCTCAACGACGCTTCTCCCGTTCAGCCGCTACCCGACACGGAGGAAGAGCGCGCCACGGACGAAAAAAACGACTCGACCGACCCAGTCTGTCGTTCCTGCCCGCGAAGCCTGCCGTATCGCAGGAATCGGACACGGCGAACGACTTTGACTCGAGCGCATCACAGTCAAGCGTTTCCATCACTTGGAGTGGTGGTGAAGCTTGACCGTGCTGTGCTCGTGTTAGACTCGTTCCCCGTGTCCGAACCCTGCGATACAGAAGGCTTCGCGGGCAGGAGCGACGGACAGGGTCGGTCGTGTCGTTTTTTTCAATGGGGTGCGGTCGTTGTCCATGTCGGGCAGCGGCTGAACGTGACGAGCGTCGTTGTCGCCGGTGGTTGAGGTTGAGGTGGAGGTGGAGCTTAACTCGAATGCTCGAATGGTAGCAGACCGAGCTTCCGCGTTTCTTTCCATTATCGAGGCATGGTCTACATTGCGATGATGAGCGCGCTAAATAGATTTGAGAAGCTCGCGCATGGTGTTGCTGGTCTCTTGATCAAACTACCCCCCCCCCATGCAAAACATAAGAGTACGCCCCCCCCCCCC